AGGGTTAGACAAGGGGTAAAAAACATATGTATATGAAAGTAGAAATGGAATATTATGGATGATAACATGCATGATTAAGCCACTATGCAGTATATTCTAGGTGGGAAACCACATTTAGTATGTTGTGATGATGCTCAGGGAATGAATGTAAATTAATAAAAAAAATTTCAGAAGGAAAAAAAAAGGCATTAAAAATACCTATTTGATGACTGCAATAAGCTATATAGTCCTAGCTAGGTGCTACTTTATAGTATGTTCATTCTATTCACTGAGGTTTATGCCTAAAGTCAGACTTGTGTTCATGGATATGTGTATATCAGCTGTGCTTGCTATTGAAAATAATTAGATTTATTAAGATACTTAGTGAAACAGTAAAATGGGGGAGGCATAGAAAGCAACAATAGATACCAGACACAATGTGGGAGGAGGGTGGGAGATGGCAGGGAGGAGGGTGGGAGATGGCAGAGGGTGAGATAGGGAATCAAGGATGGGAAAAAAGGCAAAATATACAGAAAACAAAAAAAGGAAAATGATTTGTTGACAATAACACATATGTTGATGTGCTTGATTGAGCCAATATACAGTGTATTCTGAATGGAAAAATCTCATTTTGTATGCTATAATGACGTACAGTGAATGAATGTAAATAAATAAAGAAAAAAAATGAAAAAAAGAAATCTTCTCTAAGGCTAGCTCCAGAGTACAGCTGATAAAGTACTGTGCAGAGGACGCGGGATCCCAAATGGCTAACCATGGTTTGAGTCCTGACCCTGTAAAACACACTGGTGTATGCCCTCATATGCCCAAGATTCTAATGGGTTGAAAAATTGGAGGAGAGGGTATTGTGGCAATGATAAGATCCACCGGAGGGAGTGTGTTCTCTGTCTCTTGCTTTTTCTCTCATGTATGTGCACACACTCTCTGGAACTACGACAAAAAAAAAATCGAACTTCTCTATGACATTACTCTAAATGGATCCTCCAAGAGATCTACATAAAATAGCACCTATAAACAATAGTATATTTTAGCCTCGGAGATGAGTGGTTTTGTTTTAATAAGTTGGGAAGGAAACACTAGTTGGATTTTTTACAAAAGAATTATTTAATTGTATTTATTATTATTATTTTAAAAAATTTGCTATATGGCATGTGCACTCACCAGAGAGGGACAGAGAGAGGGAAAGTAAGAAAGCAAATCACTAGGACTCGAACTGCAGTCAGCCCCATGGGAGTTCAGCACCTTAACCACCATGCCACTTGCTGGCCCCATTAGTTGGATTTTTTAACTGAAAGAGGTCCCTCGACCTTCCCCCTGCCAAAAGAATATACTAGCTATAATTTCCATACCTATGATAGGTTAACATTCTCAGGGTATTTTTTGTTTTTCTCAGTATCACTCTATAAAAATAAAAACATAATAATCTGTAATAAAAAAATGATAAAGCCCATATACTATGATGATGGCAGTAGAGCAAGGTGACTTTTCAGCTTGGGTGACCTACTAAACTGTTGCACAGGCCACTTGGGAGGAGAAAGGTCCAGGGATGTTGCGTCTGAGAATCGCTGGACAGCAGTGAGTGCTTCAGAGGGTGAGGAAGCCAGCCAGCATGCAGCACTGGTGTTTAAGAACCCATACAGCTTTAAAATCCAAATGCAGGCTGTTTTTCAGATTACTCTTACTCTGACCAGTTAGTATAGACACTCAAATCCAGAAATACATCAGGGAAAAAAAAAAAAAAAAAAGCTATGTGGCTGGTTTTCTGCAAACCTTCTAGGTGGCCGGAGTGGTGCTCCCTACACAGCGGGCTGGCAGCATGCAAGTTTGCCTAGACAGCTCTGTGGTCATCAGTCCCCTCAGCACAGATATTAAACAAGGTATAAGGAATGTTCCATCACCAGATAAAAGTTGGTAGACCAGATCCAAAAAGACTGACTTGGCTCAATCATATAACCATCTTCCAAAAGGAAAAAGTAATTTTCTTTATTAGATACTGGAATTAAAAAATTCATCATTTTAGCTTGAATTTTGGGAAGTAAGCATATTTTGTCAAGGTTTACAAGAAGTGTATTTTGTTTAAGTTTATGAGTTGCTATGAAACACAGTTTGGAAAAAAAAAAAAAGAGAGACAGTGTTATGTTTACTGGGCATGGATGGATGACTGGCAATGGGTGAAGTCCCTGGTAGGCAATTAGAGCATCAGCATTCCAAAACTATTGAACAATTTGTTTTGAAGAAACATAGCTTCCAAAAGAACAAAAGCATCATCTAAATATTTATTTGGATGCCTGTATGCCAAAATAAAGTTAAATATATAAAATAATCCAAACCTAAAAGAGCTAGAAAAATTTAGTTATCATTTGAGCATGGAAAGGGGCTCCAAAGTCTACTGGTAAATGATTATCCGGGGTACTCTGTGCACTTTCCGTGGAAATGGCACAGTTGGTATGAGGCTTCTAGTGCAACTCAGGAAGCTAGGCTAGTTGTCCGGTACAGGCATAGTGCCTTGAGCACGATCGTGAGGTGTCCGGAGCTCCTCAGGGCACACAGGCCAATCGCCACCCTGGCAGGGTCCTTCACCAGCACTACTTCCTCAAGATGTGTCCTATGTTTCCAGTGGCCCCTTGACCTGTGGTTTCCCCTGTTGGGACCCATCTCGTGCCACAGCAGGCTTGGAGACAGCTCAGGTGAGGAGTCTGTGTCAGGAGCACTCCCCACGCAGCCCTCATTGATTTAGGCCAACCATGGGACTGTCGGGCTCCAGGTTTTACCGTCAGTCAGTTAGTCTTGAGGCAGGGATATTCTTCTGACCTAACTACTCTCCTTATGCAGATGGTTAAGTCTGAAACTACTTACAAGGCATATTCTAATGAGGACTGAAAGGAGGTTCAGGCACAATAATGACAAGGTTCAGGTGGCCCAGTCAAGCATCTCTCATTTCTAGATATCCAGATATGTTTTCTGAAGGTCTGGGCAGCCCTCCCTCCCAATCATCAATTCAGTTACATTACATACAGCTGCCTGTTTACAAAAAAGGAAGACATAGCACAACAGATCAGTCAAATGTTCTGTATCTATTCCAGGCTAGCAGGGGATCACTTACGAAATACACATTCTACAGGAAAACAAGTTCCAGGGCAGAACTGTCACTCACGTACAGGCACGTGGTGTGGGAAGTCTGCCGCTTGCTGAGGCTGGCTCAAAAATGCCTGGCACTTGCTGGAGAAGCCAATGGCCATGCTAGATAATCTTATGCAAGCCACCAGAGATGCTGTCAATCACTGCCTCCAAATGAGAACGTCAGACACTCACAGTGGGGTTCTGCCTCAGACACTATTATAAACTCACGTTACGATAATTAAAAACATCAGCATCAAGAGAGCTAAAGCGACATACTATTTGAAGAAAGAGAGGTAACAACAAGATTAAGAAAATTCCCAGTATAATTCTTATACAAATACACTATGTGGCTGGATAGTTCCATTAAAAATGCTTCTTCTTTTCTCTATGGCATAGATTAGGATTTGTATTAGAGAAGTAACAGCCACACTTTGGGACAGATCTACATACTATTCTACTTCTGCCTATCCAAAATCACATTTTGGATGTGCGGTGTCAAGAAACTTGACAGAGAACAAAGCTTGCCCACCAGAGAGAGCACAAAGGTGTGACAATTTAAGAGTTCTGCTTAAAGTGCACAAAGTTCCTTTTTACTAAATGAGATTTTCATTTCCATGAACTGTCACATGATATGTTATAGTTATAAAAAAATACAGAAAACAAACCTTTATAATTTTTATATACACTTTTAATATTCTTAATTTAATTCAATTTTAAAAATTTGCCAGAAGGCATGTGTGCTAACCAGAGAGAGAAAGAGAGAGAGAAAAAGCGAGAAAGCACTCCACATGGGCCATGGTCATGCTGCAATCCCTTTTCCTCCATCTCTCTTTCCTTTTGCAATTTTAGGCATACATGCATACATGCCCAGCATGATTCTCAAGTCACTGGGTCTGAGATTCAAAGCTACTAGTTGGACATGTGGAATCCACCTGCCTTAACCACCAGGACACATGCTAGCTCAATCTTCATTTCAGTAAAACTATAAATTACTAAACCCTGCATAACACCTTTTTAAATATGATTTTCCCCTTCATTTATGATTGTGTGTATGTGTAGAGAGAGTGAGAGAGACAGAAAAAGAAAGTGGTCACGCCACAGTTCCCTTCCTCCAGCCTGTTGGATCCACAGACACTTGTGTATGTGCCCAGCATGTTTTGGGCTGACTAAGACAGGGATTGGAACCATGGTCACCATGTGAAGTCTGGCTTCACTTAAGGAGTGCTTTGCTACTGTGCCATGGAGCCAGGATTGAATATTTCTTTTTATTATCCATTATAATTGTTCTCCTAGACATACTTTGTGGGTTCAACTTAACTATGGGTTCTACTCAACCCCTGACTTTGTTTTACAGACAAACTCTAAGGTTCTACTTTATTGTCATTAAAAATAAAATTAGGCCCAGATGTGGTAGCATGCACTGACAAATGCTGCTACTTGGTAGCTTGAGGCTACATGGGAGGTCCAGCGTTGATACTAGGGCTACCCTAAAAACCAGGCACTGTGGCACATGCTGGTTGTCCCAGCAACTTGGGAGGCTTGTACAGGAGGATCATGACACAATGAGACCCTGTCTAAATATAAATTTAAAAAAAGCAAAAATTGGGGCCAGCAGGTGGCAAGGTGATTAATTGCGCTGGACTCCCACACGGCTAACCGTGGTTCAAGTCCCAGACCTGGTGACTTGCTTTCTCACTTTCTCTCTCTCTCTCACTCTCTTGTACTGTCTCAATCTGGTCAAATTAAAAGAAAGAGAGAGAGAGAGAGAGAGAGAGAGAGAGAGAAAGTTAAATAAAATAATTCTTTAAAAAATTAAAAATTAAAATTAAACATTAATAAAAGGGCCAGCCATTGTCACAAAGTATATGCCAGTGCATCCTTACCTTCCCCTTGTGGCTTTCTGCAGAACCTTCATTCCCACTAAGCTGCAGGACTTCCCTTCCAGCTCTCTGTCTTTCAAGATGGTGCCCTCCATGTGCACTTCGCCAAACATTCCACAGGCATCTTGCACCAGAAGGCAGGTTCTGCAAGACAGCATACACATTTGTTCTCTGAGGAGGCAGGTTGATCAATAAGAGATCAGAATTTCCTGCTCCTTCACTAGAAACTCACTGGAGTCATCTTCCCAAATGCAACAGGCATGGCAAATGAAACATGGCTCAGGGACTTTTTGGATTTGTACATGTAGGCATTTGGTTCACTACCCACAAAATACAGGAGACAGGGTTCTTTCTTGGCATGAATGAAACTGAGCCAAATTTATCATTAATGCCCAGAAACACAGTGTCCACTTTCCCCATGTTTAGTCTACTCCTCATGAAAGGAAACATGTACATTTATTTGTGTGGATGCTCCATGCTGAGCAAGGCTTCAGTGTAATAGTATTATAGGAAACCATGAGGGGCTTTCTCAGAGAATGTACGTTTTTACAGATGTACATATCCCATGTGTGGGATAAAAACCCACATGTGTCTCAGATGGCTGCAACAGACATGATTGACATCTGGGTCACAGGTATCCCCCTAGTATGTAAGTCACAAGGCAGTAGTCATGAAAGACTATTTAAGGCAGAGTTTCTAATCCTCTCACTTCATAATTCAGGTAAATGGTGTAATTTATCATGAAATGATACATTTTCAGAAAAATTTTAAAGGAACTTGAAAATATTTAGTCAGTAAATAATACCACAAAATAGACCGTAGGACACAGAATTATTTAAACGCTTCAAAGGAAAGTACACATTGGAAGAGTAGATGACAAGCTGAACAAAGAAGCTGAATCAATGGACATGGGCCTTAAACTCTAACTTGACAAAAGGGACAAGAACTCGAGACTCTAGGTCTATGGGCCCCTGGTTTGCAAGAGAAGCAAAGGTATATCTTGTCTGAAACTAAGTACCCTTAATTGCTACTTTGCTACAGAGGAAGATCAAAGATGTGCTCAAATAAAAATCATCAAACACATGCAAGCAAACCATTATGTGGCAAAAGCCTAAAGAAATAACAGACTATTGAGGATTTGAGATATTAAAATTAACAGATCTGAAATACAGAATAACTATTTTAAAAAGGTAAATTCACGAAATATAGATGGGAGCTAATGAACTATACAAAATGACCTGGCAGATTTGAAAAAGAATGAAATAAAAATTCCAAAGGAAAGTTACACTTAGTGAATAAAAAAAGTCACTGAATAGGTGCAATGCCTGTCTACCTACATCTAAAAAAACGTACATGGCATCTGAGTTCTGTATCTGCATTTGTTACCCAGCATGCAGCCTGAGCACCGAGACAGCCACATCTGAGAGAGGATGAGGGAAACACATGAGAACAGAATGAGAAGCTCTAATGTGTGTAAAGTAAAATCCTGGTTCCAACTTCAGACCCCTGACATAAGGGATACTGAGGCCGGGCTCCCCCACCCAGCTCCAGCCTCGGGACCCCCAAGCCAGAGACCTCTATCTCTGTCAGCAAGGTAGGATTTTTTTCCTTCTCCTCTCTTTCATTTGTAAATTTCTCACTTCTCCTTGCATTGTAAATTTCTCACTTCTCCTTGCCACACAGTAATGCTCTCAGCTCTGCAGCCACCCCACTTCCAACTTCAGACCCTTGGTGAAATTGCTAGCGCGCAGTGCGCGACCTTTTCTTTATTTTCCTTATTATTTTCTTCCTGCTTATTTGGTCCTCACTTCCTTTATCTACACCATCCCTGGTGGGTTAGATAGGTCTAGAATTACAGTTTTGAAATATTCTATTATTTTAAGACTCTCTGGGATCCTCCCTTTTACTGAACCACTTGCGAAAAAGGAGATACTTTTCTTTGTACACCTGAAGAGGATACTCCTCCATGGATCACATTGCTAAATACAAACAGAAGAGAGACTGGCAGTCTTCAGTCCACTGCAAAAAGGAAACACGCTTGCTCCTATTCAAGGAAACATTCTCTTAGAAGGTAATGCAAAGGGAACACACCTCCCAATGGTTAGAAGAAGAAGAACCTTAGGTTTGAATAAAGCAGGAAATATGTCTCCATCAAAAGAACACAGTGACTCCCTTCCATTTCTTGAAAAAATAGAGGATGTTACCAAAATGGATGAGAAAGAATTTAGAACATTCATGGTGAACAAATACTATGAGCTGGAACAGAAAAGAGACAATGAACTACAGGAGATTAGAAAGTCTTTCCACGATATGAAGGAAGAAATGGACATGCTATAAGAAAGAATAAGATGGAAGTACTAGAGGCAAGTCTGTAATACAGGAAATCAAAAACTCTCTTGAAAGTATTAAAAGTCGATTAGACAATGCTGAAGATTGAATCTCTGATGTAGAAGATAAAACTTCTGACCTAGAAAAAAACACCAAAATGATCGAGAAAATAACAAAAAAAAAAGAGGATAACATATGAGAAACACTAGATTACATTAGACGTCCTAACATCCAAATAATTGATATCCCAGAAGATGAAGAAACTGATAAGGGCATGGAAAACCTATTCCATGAAATCTTGGAAGAAAATTTCTTAAGTCTAGAGAGGCACTCAAGCATCCAGACCCCAAATACAAAGGACCCCAAATAGAATCAACCCAAGAATATCTTCCCCAAGACATATCATACCCAGACTGGCAAAGACCACAGATAAAGATAAGATACTAAAACTGGCAAGAGAGAAACAACAAGTGACTTACAAAGGTGACCCCATCAGGCTAACTCCGGACTTCTCAACGGAAACAATGCAAGCAAGAAAAGAATGGGAAGATGTATTGAAAGTGTTAAGAAAGAAACAATTTCAACCAAGATTATTATATCCTGCAAGATTATCCTTCATATGGGAAAAAAAGATTAAAATCTCAGACAGACAAAACCTGAAAGAATTTGCCAGCACCAGGCCAGAAACCCTGAAGAAAGTACTCTTCCAGGAAAACTAAAGAGGTAACAGCCAGAACAAAGTAGTAAAAGGCAACCAAGACAATGGCCACCTTAAACGTCAGGACAGGTCCAGTAACATTGATAATTACATTGAATGTTAATGGATTAAATTCTCCAAGCAAGAGACACAGACTGGCTGAATGGATTGACAAACAAAAACTCTCTATCTGTTGCCTACAAGAAACCCACTTCATGGATAAAGACATACATAGAGTGAAAGTGAAGAGTTGGAAAAAGGTTTTCCATGCAAATGGGAACCAAAAAAGAGCTGGAGTTGCAATACTAATTTCTGACAAAATAGGCTTTAAAACAAAACTGTTCGAAGAGATAAAGAAGGGTACTATATTGTAGTAAAAGGGTCAATTGATCAATAAAATATAATGCTTATTAATATCTATGTGCCTAACACAGGAGTACCCAAGTATGTGAAGGAAAGACTGTTAGATCTAAAAGGAGAGATAGACTGCAACACACTAGTAGTTGGAGACCTCAACACTGCACTATCTCCTCTAGACAGATAATCTAGACAAAAAATAGGTAAGGAGATAAAGGACCTAAATGATACCATAAATCAATGGACTTAACAGACATCTAGAGAACTTTCCATCCACAAACCATGAGATACACTTTTTTCTCTCTGCCACATGGAACCTTCTCGAAGATTGACCACATCATAGGGCACAAAACAAGCCTCTACAGACTAGAAACTATACCCAGCATCTTCTCCAACCATGATGGAATTAAACTTGAGTTTAATTGCAAGAGAAATCCTCAAAAATACTCAGATACATGGAAACTAAATAACCTACTCCAGAATGACTCCACAACTACTGAAGAAATAAAGAATGAAATCAGAAGATTCATAGAAGCTAATGACAACAAGGACATGAGTTTCCATAATCTTTGGGACACTGCTAAAACAGTAATAAGAGGGAAGTTCATAGCAATTAGTGCACAAAAGAGGAACACGGAAAGAATGCAAATGGATCACCGAACATCATGCCTCAGATAATTGGAAAAGCAACAGCAAAAAGATCCAAAAAAACTCTAGGAGAAAGGAAATAATAAATATATGAGCAGAAATAAATGAAATAGAAAATAAATGAACAATACAGAAAATAAATGAAAGTAAAAGCTGGTTCTTTGAAAAGATAAACAAAATTGAAACACCACTAGAGAGACTTATTAAGAAGAAGAGAGAAAGGAACTAGGTGAATCAGATCTGCAATGAGGCAGGCAAAATAACAACAGACATAGTAGAAATACAAAACATTATTAGAGGATACTATGAACATCTGTACACCAAGAAACAAGATAACCTGGATGAGATGGACATATTCATGGTCAAATATAATCTACCTAGATTGAGCCAGGACGATATAGAAAGTCCGAATAAGCCCATAATAAGCCAGGAGATTGAATCAGTAATAAATAACCTCCCAACAAAGAAAAGTCCTGGCCCTGACGGATTCACCTCTGAATTCTAGAAAACTTTCAAAGAAGACTTAAATCCCATTCTGCTCAAGATATTTCTAAAGATCCAAAAGGGTGAATCTCTCCCTAATTCATTCTGTGAAGCCTCTATCACCCTTACCCTTAAAACAGATAAGGACAGGACAAGGAAGGAAAACTATAGACCAATATCCCTGATGAATATAGATGCACGGATTCTCAACAAGATACTATTCTCAACAAGATACTAGCAAATCATATCCAACAACTTATAAAAAAGATTATACATCATGATCAGGTAGGCTTTATTCCAGGAATGCAAGGTTGGTTCAGCATACGCAAAACCATAAATGTAATACACCATATTAATAGGAAGAAAGATAAAAACTATATGGCCATATCAATTGATGCAGAAAAAGCATTTGATAAGATACAACATCCCTTCATGATCAAGACTCTCAGCAAAATCGGCACAGAAGAGTCATTTCTCAACACAATAAAAGCTATCTATGAAAAACCCCTAGTGAACATCATCCTCAATGGAGAAAAGCTGAAAGCTTTTCCACTAAAAACAGGTACAAGACAAGGTTTCTCACTTTCTCCACTCCTCTTCAATATAGTACTGGAAGTCCTGGACAACACAA